GGAAACGACGCTGCCACACTCGGTCTTCAGCTTCGACAGTTGGCTCTTTCTGGCAAACAGATCTCTAGCAGACTTTGGAGCCCTGGTTCCGCTCAATCGCTTCTTCAATACGAGCAGTATTAAAGTTGCGTAAGTCCCGCCGCATGCATTTGGAGATATGTCTGTTCAGTTGCCTGTATGCTGTCAAATCTACTGAAGACTGCAGCTTCATATCCCGTCTAACAGCCATGAGATTAAGAGTGTGATCGAAAAGTTTTTGTATTCTTCTACGGCTGGTCTTGCAAAACTTAGCTCCGACCGCATGGACAGTTTCCATGAGCTTGTCATTCATATCGTCCACTGCATTGCAATCTTCTAGGCACTGAAAACGGTTTCGTAGCTCGAGCTGAAAGGTTTCGGGACTTTGGGTTAGAGCACGAGGGGGACGGAGAGTTGACTTCATTAGACGTGACCTCTCCAACTTAACGTTTAGGTTCAGTGTACCTCTCACCATTCGGTGATCGCTGCCGGTTTTCACCTTCACGATCACTGAGACATCACTGAATAGTTGTCGTCTGGTCGTCATAATGAAGTCAATCTCATTTTTTGTCGAACCGTCGGGGCTCGACCAGGTCCACTTCCTGTGGGGCCGCTTCTGGAAGAAAGAGTTCATCATAAAGAGTACCTCTTTGTCCATGAAGTCGGCCAGCTGCTGGCTCCTTCGGTTCCGTTGCCCTATTCCGAATTTCCCTATTTTCAGCTCACCGTTCTCTCTTGTGCCTAGTTTTGCGTTGAAGTCTCCCATTAACACCCATGGGTTTTGGAAGTATGATGCATGGCTCTAGAGATATTCTCATACATTTCCTCTACCTCCTCATCGGGGTGTACCGAGGTTGGTGCGTAAACCTGTATGACCTTCAGCGAATACCGTTTGGTGATTCTGAGTATAAGGTACGCAACCCTCGTCGACACACTCCCAATCTATACAACGTTGTTAACGAGAGACTTGTGGACAATAAATCCGACATCTCCTTGAGACAGATGGTTGCCCTCCCGGTGATAGAACAACTTGCCGGATTCGAGGGTCACCGTGTCCTCCCCCTCAAATTGTCTATCTCTTCTTCCAGCTCCAGGATCTTCTCGTCAGTCCTCAGGGTGCGTGCGTTATAAGTTTCCAGGTCAAGTCGTCGTAGGTGACAACCGAACCACCACCAGAGATACTTAGCACCCCCCGCCCCACCGTTACAATGGTCACCACCGTAGCCAGGAATAGCGGGGCCGCCGATGACTGGGGGCCATTTATTTATGTCATTGCTCATGGGGGGTATATTGCCATAGTTGCCACGCTTGGCGAGCGGGTTGGCAATCGCACTTTTTTTATTGTTGTTTTGCTGTTATCAGAAAGATGCTGCTGCCCATCCTGCGCCTCAGTTTCCCTCTGTCGACACCCACGGGGTAGTAAGTACAAAAATTTATTTTTTTATTATATCGTAATTTTTTATTCGAAAAATATTTTATATTTAGGTCACAAACACTCCGAATAAGTGCTATTAATGCAATAAAAACTAGTAATTAAGCATCCAATTAATGTTAGGTAAGGCTACAATTATTAGTAAAAATAAATAAATGTGAAGCAAAGTAATATTATTGCTTCCTATAGAAAAACAATAGCCCACAAATTTTCCAAGAAATAATTATATTTCAACATTAGCTGTTCCCCGCGACTTCCCTCGCGTGTTAGGGTTTTTATGTTTTTGCGCGGAACCCTAATTATTTTTTTAAAATAAAAGTAGCCTAAGTTACTCCTTATGAAATCAGCTATTTACCAGAAAACGTCCCGTCAAAATCGGTTCAGCCGTTTCGGAGATTATCCGGAACAAACAGACAGACAGACAGACAAAAATTTTAAAAATTGTATTTTAGTTATAAGTACTGTATTTACTTTGATATGTATTTAGTAAAAAACTGAAATTTTGACATTACAAACAGACACTTCAATTTTATTTATTTGTATAGATTCTTGGTACAATGATAATAATAAGATGATGATAATGAATGAATTAATCGTGTAGTGACGGTGTGAGAGTAACCACTATCGTCCTATGGGTATCCTAAGAGGAGGCAGCGGGAAACTGAAACAAGAAATCTCAAAATTATAAAAACTGGCAGTTGCCAACCCGCCTGCCAATCATAGCAACTATGGCCACATCCTCCCTGTGATGCAATCCATGAGGGAGACCTATGTTCAGCAATGGACTTTTATACAGGGTTATTTTGCAATAACCGGCCAAATTTGCAGAAAAAGTTCAGAATAAGTGATATAGGCAAACGGTGAAGAAAATTAATTAAAGAAAATCTCCAACATTCTGTCTTTTTTAATCCTTTAAATTCAAAACGTAATGGTAATGCATTATTTTAAATGATTCTACTGCACAAGCACACATTCGCAAGGGTCGATCGGTAAACAGAAACGTTGTTGCCCATAAATCACGCTCAATTTGGGATAATTTCAAATAAAACTACAAGCCTTAGTTTCTTTAAAAACTGCAATAACGGTATATCATTATTTATATATTTGAACTTAAGTTAAACATTTGGCTACTCTTTGAAAAATAACCCTGTAGACTGTAATGAATAATGATTGAACAAACCGCAACTCCATGTCTAAGTGCGTATTTTGCGTGTGGGAAAAACGAATCGAATGGTTGAACGAATGTACTTTTACACCAAAAAATAAAAATATCCAAGTTCAAGTAGAAGGTACAATTTTAAGGCCCTTTCGCTGCATAACTACCTCTTCAATGCAACTAAAGTCAAAATGAAAAAAGCTACAGATGCATTTCATCCTTGTCTCTGATATAACTGACCAAACATTTCCATAAGTCTTAGTCTGAACAGGCTGCTAAAAAGCTTAAACACGCAATAATAATTTTTTCAACAGATTCAATATAAATTATTAAGAATAACTGAAAAAATGTTGGTCAGACCATGATCAAATTTATATGGGACCACATGAGAAGTACCAGCTTTCATATAAAAAAAGAATCATGGAAATTGGTTCACCCAGAAAAAAAGTTATGAGGTAACACACATAAAAAAAGAAAACAAAAACATACAGTCGAATTGAGTAGCGTCTCCTTTTTGAAGTGGGTAAATAACATAACAGCCAATATTCGTCCTTGCTGAGCACACGAAACACAGCAGCATAACGCTGATATTTTTACACTGGTAATCTGTAAGAGCTGATCTTTCTGAATGATTGCAATGCTTGGAAGGGAGTTGATTACTTTTTAACCTACTTCAAAAAAGGAGATATTCAATTCAAATGTATTTTCAAACTTGCAAGTCTCTAGCTCATCAGAAAGTTATTTTAAAATCAATTACTAAATTCTACCTTTTATAGGATAAGGGTGACAAACAAGCACACAGTCCACCTGATGGTAAGTGGTTGCTGCGGCCCATAGACATCTATATCTATCTTCGATTACGAATCAAAATGCAGATGCGTTGTCACCCGTGAGGACTAAGATGGAATGCCTCATTTCCAGTAAAAAGGGTCTCCGGTTCTCTACACTCACCATACGAAACACAGCAGCGTTAAGCTGCTATTTTACGCTGGTATTCTGTGAGAATACCAGCGTAAAATAAAAGACTGAACAGACATACACAAAAGTTAATAAAAACTAGGTAAAAACAAATTATTGTTGTTTCCATATGACCTCGTTACATTATAGTAATGAATGCAAACAGTCTTATCAATGTTTAATGAATACAAAATGACAAGCATGAATTGCCTAGATAAAAGAAAATAACATCAATCATACCAACATAAACCATGACTTAACTACAAGTAGTTTTTTTTTAAATCATGCTATTTAATAAACAATTGTAAGGAATTGGTGCTTAAGTAAATTGACATTACAGCCTATCAAGAGTCTACTACTGAGCACAGGCTTTCTGTAGAAATGAAGCCTTAAAGTGGGGATATTTCTTTTTTTTTCTCTCTGTCACCTATTACTATACCCAAGGGATGATATGGGGTAGTGAATTATTTGATTTTTCGATGTGAAAAATTCTTTAGAATCGTTGTGATTTGTAATTTGATGAAACAAAAATGCTACACTAAAAAGAGACAAACATATACATCTATTGAATTTAGCCTTGAAGAAAATGAGCTAGAATACAGTATACAGTGTTTCCTATCACCTCGGTCTCAATAAATTAATAAAATGAGGTATTTATGTGTGTTGTAAATTTTATAAAATTGTTACGGACGGCGAAGGGAGCCACCACCTCATCACCCCCTCATACCCCGTTACGCCCCGCACACCGCCCGGACGTCACATGATGCCTGCGTCCAACGAGTGCACAGCGATGCTGCGTGGGAACATAGAAACAGTGAAACCCCCGCCGAGCAAATATAAGAAGGGCACCTGGCCACTGGGAATCATTCAATTCCCAAGCAGCAGTAGAAGAAGACTCTGAAGAAAGGAAGAATCAAGAAATTTCCTTCTAGTATATTCCCTATAAGTATTAAAATTAGTAATTAATTGTACTGCCACATTATTGTTTGTATATAGTGAATAAACAGTGTTAAATTGTCCCACCTTTCTTTTATACAGTCTAACTCAATCTAATGGTCAGTCAGTAAAGTAAATAAGCTATCGAAGTTAAATTAAAGTTAGTCAGTCAGTCCACGAATCTATTTAGTACACTTATTTACACACTAATTTGTTTGCACAATTCATTTCAACGAACAAAATATGAACAAATATTATCCGACCACGACGGTCATGGTGTTGCTTGTCAACAAAACAAATGTTATGGAGTTACAATTTAGCCATCTACGGATTTGACTAGTCCATCCATTTACAGTATGTTGACGGTCGAAGTAACTAGTTCATTCATTCAACGCCCATTACCAGTCGTCTCTTACAACACTCACTGGATTTTGGGGTAGGGGATTCTCTTATTTCACTACTACAAGGCGATAAATAGACATATAAATTTAATACACTTACTTTCATCTTCGGTAGTGTGCGCTCCTTTCTTAATAAAGACATCGAGTTTAATAGGATGATGCAAGGAACGAAGAATTTTGATCCTAATGCAAAGGCCAATAAGCGTAGCTAGTGAACAATGCGGCACGGTTGGATTATACTCTACTCTGAGTACAGGAACTTTGTCTGCTGTCGGTTCCTTCACGAAGATTCCGTCCTCATACACGACCTTTAGGTCCTCCAATGTACTAGGTTTTTCCGGATCTCGTATTGTCCTCAAAAAGTCTAAAACACCACAACACTAATTAGAAATCACAACAAAACCATTCAAAAAGCACACAATATTAATAACTGACCATATATTGTCTCTCTCAACTCATTGTCGTCTTTGTACCCGAGCTCTTGCAAACTTGCACTTTTGTCCATAAAAGCAGGCTTAGCTAATTCTACAGAGGACTTCTGAGTGCTGTTTAAAGACAGCTTAGAGAAGAACGATAACATATCGTTTACTAATGATTAAAAAACTATTTTGTAACTATCAATCACAAAGTCAGGAGACATATTTGTCCACAGAACACTAATACCTGTATTTGTCAGAGTAAATTAAAATTAATCATTTGATATTTTGATATTTGTTGTTTATAGTGTTGTCTAAGTATTATCGAGTAGGCTTGGGCAATAAATATCGATATTATATCATAAAAATATGTATATATATCGCCGATATTTTTAATCGCGATATATCGTTATATCGCTATTTATTTAAGGCCACCTGCGCACTAGGCACCCTGGCTGCGCAGCCAGGCTGCGGCGGCCGATGCAGTGGCCGTTCGAAGGATATTAACGTGGAAGAACTTGTAATTTTGTGCGTATTTCGTAAAAAACGCAAAGCTAAAAAACATTGGATTCATCCTTTTTTTCCAGAACGGCACTCAAAAGACTTATTTCGGGTATGAATCATAAAGATGTTCGTAAATACTTAAACCGGTTTTTTAACTACACGAGAATGTCAGTGCAATCATTTGATAACCTTCTGTAAAATATAAGAAATTCATCCCATATTGCATTACGGTTTTCAATTTCGCGAATAAATTTCTCCGTATCAAAAATCATTTTGTGGTTTCGGAACACAAAATACGCCTGGCTGCTACGACAAGTGCGCGGTGACTGACGGCAGCCACATACATTTGCCCTGCTCGCGCTGGCTGCGCGCAGCCAACGGGCTGCCGTGCAATCGGGCGCGCTTTTATGGCTGCCGCAGCCAGGAGTTCGTGGCTGCTTAGGTGTGCGGGCTCCCATACACCATCAAATGTTCGACTGGCTGCCTAGTGCGTGGGGTGCTTTAGAGTATTGAATTCGTATCAATTTCGATATATTTTAAAATGTTGTATTAAAGGAGCTACAAAAAAGCATTCATGTGTTGTCTTTTATTTGTCGTCCAACCTTAAGTAACATTAAATTTTACGTCTTATCCTTACATGATGCAAATAATTACGATATGTTGATAGCTATCACGCGATATGTATCGATACTGTTTAAAAATATTGATTCGATATATATCGATATATTTTCCCTTACTCATCCCTATTATCGATATCGACTCAGAGTTAAAAAGGCTTAAAATAAAAATAGTACTAGTATGGAGAAAAAAATCGTTTATTATAAGAAATATATTATATAAATTCGTATATATAACGATACTTAAAATCCAATTGGATTCTCTGTCTACGGCTAGTATATTCGAAGTCTAAATCCCGCTTTTCACTGTGGGATATAATGTAATATATAGGTAATATATCTCGAGATATAAATTAATATCGCTCACCGTACTTTTTTATGGAACCGTTTACACTGAGATGTAATATATATTACATCTCATACTATAAATATTTGTTCGATCGACCGAGCGATATTTTTATATTATATTTCGCTATTGAGTTATACAAGACTAGAGGAGCAAACCACATTACCGCGCTTCGAAAAAAGTGAAGCCACTATCTAACCGCGAGGACGTAGCTTTGAAACCACTAAACCTTTTTAAGTAAACATATATCTGTCTCACTTACACAAGTAGCGAAAACAATACCGTCGTTAAGATTAGATAAAGATAGACACACAAACATGCAGTGACGGGTTGGTATTGCCTACTATATGATATTTTACCCAAAAATAAGCAATAAAAATTAGTTTTTTTTAAGCTGCAGTTATTTGTTTTTATTTTAAATATGTATCTTTGCTTATCCGATGAATGGAAGTATAACTAATGAAATGAAAGATATTTTTTGAAGCATCTTTTATTGTGCTAATAAATAAAAAAAAAACAAGTTAAAAAAAATCAATTTTGGGTGTCTTTACCAAGAAGATCTGAGTTTGAAATATGCACCAATTGTGAAAGCATCGGCAAGTCTTTGTCTCCTAAATTTGGTCTAATGACATTAGCTACAAAAACTGTAGTTATTAATATTTTTTAAGATAATACTAAATGGTGTTAATCTGTCGTACTAATCCGCTTAAATAAATATAAAAAAAATAGGTAATAAAATATAATTAAAAGATCTATAGATCTCTAGAATATTCTAAAATAAGAATATCATTCGTCGCATTGAACACTGAACCGACGTTAACTGGGCATATGGCTGTGACCATATGTGAAGTGGCAATTACTTATCTAGTGTAACATATAAATCAATGTATTTCGCACCCTGTACCCCGCACACCGTTCCGCGCCGCCGCAGAACAGTGTGCGGGGCTTAGGAGGTAATCCAATCACGAACGCACACTGGTTAAAAGATATATCTCACAATGTGAAAGCCAGTCGGGGGGTATAATCTATATCTCGGGATATAATATATATTATATCGCATAGTGAATAGCGAGCTTATATTTAGGAACTTAGCATAGATATTGTTGTTACGATTTGCTAATTAAGACTGGCAAGTGCCTTAAATTATACAGCCTAGTCTGACGTATTTTTCCATGTTTAGTAATAAAATTATATTGACTTAGATAATAAAATGTCTACTAAGAGATGCCGCGACACCTGTGACGCACTAAAATTACGTTAAAAATATCTCAGAGTAATTACAAGGATGTGTATACAGTAATTACAAGGATAATAACATTTATCTATAAAACTAATTTGGTAAGTTAACATACTAGTGATACCATAATATGACGGTTACTTTGCCATGTTTTGTTACAACAAAGGGTTCTCAATTTTAACCTATATTTTTAACCGATTACAACAATTTAAATAAAGTGTTCTACACTTGACATTCTATGTATGTTTGTATCAAGGAGATTGTAAAATATAGGTAGTGCGCACTTCATACTAGAAAAACGTTCCTAAATCAGTGACCTTGAAATGAATGAAAAGCACCGAGTTAGGCGTTGCATTTCTTTCTAATAGAGTGTCCATGATACAATATTTTGAGGATATTATTAGTGTATATAGCATCACGGAAAACGAAATGCGTATTTTTTTTCAATATGGAAAGTGCTGAATAGTTTTATAATTAGGTAAACTCCGTAAAATATTTTGATTACATTATTGCTTCGCTACAATATCAATCCTACCTTACGGTAACTAGTGGCGGCGTAGCATGGGTTGACACCCAGGGCGGTTTTCTATCAAGCAACCCCCAAAATAAAACAAAAAATGCTATACATGCTAACGGGACTTTATTTTGCTAAAATATTCTTATATGTTATCAAAATTTACTTTCTTGTCCTTTTCGATAGATAAAATGGAAAGATTGGTTAGTCGCGTTTGGCTCATTGTGGACCTTAAGTTAGATTTTATTAACTTGAGTATTGAAAAGCTTCCTTCACATGAAACTTAATAGTAAATAAATCTTAGATACAGCGCTCGATTCGGAACAGATTCAGAATAGCCCAATTTTACAAGAAAAGCACCAATGAATTACATTGAACCTCTTCTTGGGAAGAAATGCTGGCAGCTATCAAGTCGTAAAATCGCCAAATGATATATCCTGCAAAAAAATCATCGTAGATTTTTGTCAGATTTTGAACTATTACACGAAGATCTTCATCTGGTGACGTTAGCAGAGTGTAAGGCTAAACAACACTAAATGTTACGAGAATTTCGTCCATTGCTCTGTAGCGATGGTCTAGTTCCTCGTAAAATATGTCAAGACATTCTAACCTAGCTCTCTGCAGCTCCTCTGGCAATGTTAGTCCAGCATAAAAGTAAAAAAAGTAAAGTTGCTACCTATTTACGTCCCACTGCTGGGCACAGACCTCCTCTCATTTCTCAGAGGGTTTTAGGGCAAGGAAATGTCCGCCGCGCTGCCCCAATGCGTGTTGGCGAACTTCACATGTTTTCGAAATATTTTTTTTCTTATTTCTCAGACATGCAGGTTTTCTCACGATGTTTTCCTTCACCGCCGAGCACGTGGTAAATCAGCACTTAAAATTGCAATTAACAATTTAATTGGTGCCGGCAGGGATCGAACCCGGGTTGCTCGAGTACTGTGAAGCTTACAGCGAGCGCTAACCATCAGAGCTACCAGTCCAGCATATCGGGTCATTTCTCCTGGTAAACGTTTTCTATATCTCCTCATTCCTCTTCTTGCTTCAATCGAAATGTCCACATTCTCATATTTTTTGTTACGTAGGAAATAGATTTTTTCACTAGTTGAATACGTTGGCTTTGAAGAAAAATTTTTGGGCATAGATTTTATCTTATACATTTCCAGTGATAATCTAGATTATTGTTATATTATTTAGTATTTGCTTTTATAACTAACTAACTTCTTTTAGGATTTTACACCAAAAGTAAAGACAGCATAAAAAACTGAAGTCAGACAAAGCTGATAAGAGTGTAGATACTGCTTCTTTTGTATCGACGTTTTCTCTGTTAGTGCTGGGATCATATATATCTTCGAGTGTTTATACTACTTTTTTTTTTAAATTATTATGCAGTGGTTTAACGGCGTCTTTGTGAGCAATTCATCTTGTCTCTGAGAGTCTTTTGACGGATACGCCTACACTTTTTATTAAAGTTTCCCATTGACGTGTGGATTATGAAAATAACCTGTAAACTCTTTCTACTGTTTCGAAAAAAGTTAAATTTGAATTAACGCTCCCTAAGCGAGCGCACTCCACATAGATTTAGCGAATAATTAGCACAAAACTATATAAGTAGTATAGTTGTAGCACAAATGGGTCGGCTCGACCGGGGAAGGACCACGCACTCACAGAATACCAGCGTAAAATAGCAGCTCAACACTGATGTATTTCGTAGGGGTAGTCAGAGACCACTTCTTTCCTTACATACTTGTTTCGCTTCGTCCACTTTCATTATTCTCTTCATACATGCTCTACGGTTTAGGGTGCTCTTGACCTGGCCTTTTTTCAAGACGTCCCTGATTTGGTCTTGAAATGTCCCCCTAGGTTTACCCCTTCCAACACTTTCATTCACACTCGCCTTATACACTTATTTCGTCAATCGTTCTTCATTCATTCTCTCGACATGGCCAAACCATCTCAGCATACCTTTCTCAATTTTTGTCACTACATCTTCACCTCACACCGTGGTAGTTCAGATGGTTAGCGCTCGCTGTAAATTTCACAGTACGCGAGCAACCCGCGTTCGATCCCTGCCGGCACCAATGAAATTACTAAACGCAATTTAAAGTGCTGATTTACCACATGCTCGGCGGTGAAGGAAAACATCGAGAGGAAACTTGTTGAAAATGTCTGAGAAATAAAAAAAATCGAAGGCATGTGAAGTTCGCCAACACGCATTGGGGCAGCGCGGCGGACATTTTCTTGCCTAAAACCCTATCAGTAATGAGGGGAGGCCTGTGCCCAGCAGTGGGACGTATATAGGCTGTAACTTTATATTGAAGTACTAGCTTTTTACCCGCGGCTTCGCTCGCGTGCACTTGAATTTAGGTACATCATTAAATGCTGTTCCGTGCCAAATTTAGAAAAATTTGATCACTTTTAGAGTCTCTCGGTGTCTATGTCTCTACGTCTGTCAGATTTTTTTTCATTCTAAAATACTATTAGACGTAGATGATTGGTAACATGCTACAGAAACACGTGAATATATATGTCTAGAAACACCTACTATTTTTTATATAGGCCGTGTCTTCCGATTCCGATTATCCATAAGAAAGGTAAATAGTCTTGAAATCGATACGTATTATTATTTACATTTTACTCTTTACATTTATTCAGTGTTAAAGTTAATTTAGATTTAACAAAGTAATATAATGTTTATTTGAGACATTTTATTCATATCATTGGTCCTATTTAATATTGATTGGCACCATAAAATAGATGGAGATATTTTTTCTTTACTTCAAGTAGACTTGAAAATTTCATAAATAGAGATCTATAATAAAGAATACTACACATGGATAAAACTAATCTTACGAGTTTTTTTACGCATCTTGGATGAAAGTTCCGAGTAAAAGAACACATCGTTGATGTGAAGCACCGAAGCTCCGGAAAGTCTAAAGTATGTCAAAATGTTTAGAACCGTCCCAACCATTATATCGGATCTGATAGACAACAAATCCTAGCAATAGAACACCGAATCCTACTAATGATGATTCGCGAGGCTATTGAAATTAAAAATATCCTAATTTTAATAGGGAAGATTGTTGAGTGCTACCATCTGCTAAGAACCCCATAATTAATAAAGTTAAATTCAAACTACTACTGCATTTATTCTATTCTATTTTAACTATGACATCAGGTCGTCAAACCTCAGTTCTCTCGCCCCTCCCGTGACCATGGGTGCTGCAAAGTGCCCAAAACATCGGAAATTTAAAAAGTTAAAATTAAACGCGATAAAATCCTTTAAATTAGTTTTATTCCTTATTAATTTTATTCACAGTGAACGTGAGAAGCACTATACTCATGAACGGGAGTAGAAAAATGTTCGCCCTGTTGTGGCGGTGAAAGAAAATCCACCACCTCATATCGTCCCGTCGTAAGAGGCGACATAGGAAAATAAACTGGAGATGGGATGGGCTGCATCATCTTCTTGACAACAGATCAAAATAATAATAGTTGCGTTTACCATCCCCGCTACCAGGCGTGGCAACTATAGCAAATATCCAGCTACTTGACAAATTATGGGGGAGGCCTATGTTCATTTCAGTGGACTTTTGATAGGCTGACGATAATGAGTTCTACTCATCTTTAATTTCTGAATATTAAAAAAAAACAAAAAGTAACATACCCGAAAACACGAATGAAATAAAAACTACATATATTGCCTCATGAAAGGTAAAAAAGTAGCAGCTTACATACATGTAACTACTGGGCACAGGCCGCAGAGTTTTTGGCCAAAAAAGTGTTCGCTGCGCTGATTCCAACGCGGGATGAATGTATAGTAAATGATTCAATTATTTACATCGTATATTCAGTAGCATTTTATTATTTAATTTTATCAATGACTTGCCATTTTAGTTTATTTATAAGTAAGTAGGTGGCGCTAATATTAGATGAAATAATGAAAGCCAAACCAAAACTATACCATCTAGTAATATCAGCAATTGAAGCGAACATTTATTATATCAATAAAGGATAAAGTGATCTCAATTCTCTTAAAAGGTTTCTTTCTGTTAAAAAATACGCTATCAGCGCCGCTAGCAGTGAAAAACGATTTAATTATATCCTCATATGACCATATTATGAAATAGCAACGTAGTGTTTAGTTATTAATATCTTCAAACGATTTCTATTCATTGATTTGGTCAAGCTATATCATGACGCCTGCAACTTTACAAGACGCAGGCTCGGCCTCACATGGAATACTGTTCCCATCTCTGGGCTGGGGCTCCCCAGTGCCAGCTCCTTCCACTTGACCGCATCCAGCGCAGAGCGGCTCGAATCGTCTATGACCGAGTCCTTTCCGATCGGCTCGATTCATTGGCGCTGCGAAGAGATGTTGCATCTTTTTGCATTTTCTTTCGCATTTTCCACGGGGAGTGCTCTGAGGAATTGTTCGGATTAATCCCAGCCGCCAAATTACACGAACGCACATCGCGGCAGAACTCCCGATACCATCCACACCATCTGGATGATTGGCGGTCCACCACTGTGCGATTTAGAAGTTTTCTTCCTCGCACAACTTCCTTGTGGAATACTTTACCACCAGCGATTTTTCCGGACCGAAACGGCTTAGGGACCTTCAAGAAAAGAGCCTACTCCTTTTTAAAAAGCCGCCAACGCATCTGCAATTCCCCTGGTGTTGCGATTGTTTATGGGCGGCGGTAGTCACTGGTAGTCACTTTACCATCAGGTGAACCGCGTGCTCGTTTATCCTATAAAAAAATGACATGTACAACAGTGTTAAATATCATGAAATGACCACACCATGTCATGAACTGATAGACTACTTTATGATATATGATCAATTCTACGATCTGGCCACGACATATATAAAAATCTCTTTAATAAAACTATAATTTTGCAATTGCAAACAAACCAGTTTTAATCACTTTACATATTTATATTAGTAACTGAAATATTTTTGATAGACGTCACTATTATCTATTGAAACTATTACACTTTTAAAATAAAATAACAAAAATTATAAAAACTAAACGTTAGAATCTTTTAATAATTTTAAAAATCTAATCATTAAATCATATAAATGTAAGTTATATTATATTATTTCATTTATTAGTAACTGAAGGCAAAATATACTATTTTTTCCATTTGATGATAGATGGCGCTGTTTTGAAAACCAAATTCATGTAGTTTCAAATTAATTTACCAAGATTATAACTATATATTAAATTTTATTTACAAATATGGTATTTATTTGAAAAACACCCGTCATCCGCCTTTAACTAAGATATAATAGAAAATTAATATCTAAAGGAAATAATTACTTAACCTTCCTTTTTGAAGTTCCGTAATCGGATAAAAAGTAGCCTATAAGTTGCCCCGGGTTACTCACTACCTACATACAACATTTCATGTAAAACGGTTCAGTAGTTTTTGCGTGAATCTGGAATACACAGACAGACAGACATTCTAAAAACCCCTTATTTGGATTCAGAACCCTTTATTTAGTCCCCTGGACTTGTTTTTTCAAGAATATATTAGAATTACAGACACCACTTTTCTACAGATTTATTATATGTATAGATATATATCATCTTTGTCGAAACGGCTGACTGCTTACTTTGTTATTGCTAAACCTCCTCGTTAAATATATTGTTTTATAATTAATTTGAACTTATTGTCACTTTAAAATCATACAGTATTTACAGTATTATAAAAGTAAAGAAATTAAAATATATTTATCATTAAATAGTGTGAAACATAGAAGATAATTACAAAAGTATTGTAAACATACAAGATCACGCCAGCATTAGAGTGGCCTGTCGGCGACAAGTTACTGCAGGGAACCACAGCGCAACGCACAAGAACTACAACTGCGTGCGGACTGCACGGTGAGTCACTCCTTACGTTGCTCGATCTACCCAACTAGAGTAAATCACACAGAAGCGACTGCTTGTTTTTCTCGTGCGTAATTGTCTCCGAGAGAACGTAGTGTTTGTTTTAATATCATAATGCGGTGCGAAGGGTGCTTAAATGATATAAAAAGCAAAATTTATTTTCGATGCAGTAAATCCGATTGTGACAAAATATACTGTACATTATGTGCAAATTTACCAAGTACTACAGTGAATGTGCAATCTTGGACATGCCCCGCATGTATCGCACAAGAAAAAAAGACTGGCAACAACAGCTCAACGCCAGTACGTACTTCCTGTCATTCACAAAATGTCACTATGCGAAATAAATTCAACCCTAAGACTTCGACTGAGCCGTCCAACTTGGGAATCAGTGAGTTGACAACCGAAATTAAGCTACTAACTCAGGAAATATCATCGCTTAAGTGTAAACTCGATGAAGCAATGACATCTTTAACTCGCTGCCACGAGCGTTTAGATGAACTCGGTAACTCTATGGCCTCAACGAACACTCGTCTAGCTTCTGTTGAACAACAACAGGCCGAGATCCATCCACTAAAAGCCGCAGTGAGTCAAATTCAAAAAAATCTTAATATGATGGCTCAGAAACAATTATCAAACGAAATGGAAATAATTGGCATCCCAGAAAATAAAAATGAAAATCTGACTCACGATTGGAGTGGACTTGGCTGATATAGATATTGACTGGGTGGCGCGTGTTGGACCACGACGTGTACCTTTGGTAAAACCATCAGATCACGACTCTGAAAGCAGTTTCTCACGACCTGTCGTCGTTCGTCTGTTGCGTCGATCAAAAAGAGACGAGATTATTAAAGCCTCTAGGCAGAGACGCAACATAACTAGCATTGATTTAGATGTTAAGGGACCGTCTTACAAAATATATTTCAACGAACGACTTACTATAGTCTGCGCGGAAGTGCTAGTCATCGCCTTAGGTATGCAAGCGGCGAGACGGGGGAGGACGCGATTGACAAGACGCACACGAGATATTTGAGGACAGATAAATCTCCGGATAACCATGTTAGAAACTGTCTTAATTAATATAATGGGTAAATTATTTATATTTTCCGGGCTAAACAAAAATTAACACGTATTTAAAAGCGTTAATTACATTTTATTATTTATGATACAAAACAGTTTTATAAACTCACCACCCAAATTAAACCTAAATTACCATACTGCGAGAATTCTATGTTCGACCTGTGGGTTTGTATCACAAATAAGGAGGTTATTAAAACCTCAATCCATCTTAGTCATCACGGGTGACAACGCATCTACATTTTGATTTGTAATAGAGGATAGATGTAGATGTCTATGGGCCGCAGCAAGCACTTACCATCAGGTGCACTGTGTGCTCGTTTGTCACCCTTATCCTATAAAAAAAAAACAATCTGTTATAGCACAAAATTAATCCATATCTTCTTCTTCTTCATTACTATACATGTCTTCAATTTCCATATCCTCCTCAGAATCTGAATCGTTTCCCAGGTTTATGATCAACTCGTCTATTACATTGTCAAACCTCATATCGTGGTCCCAATATTGGTTCTCGATTTTCTGTACGTGGTCGTCACACTTTTGCCATCTTCCTGGAGTGAATTCAGAAAACAATTTTGTGATGATTGGAATTTTGTCGTCCAATGAAGTATTTATATAATTTGTAGCTAAATTGTTCTTTATATCGGCCCACACAAGCTCAATGGGGTTGAGATCAGGATGATATGGCGGAAGGCGAAGAACGATATGACCTGAAGCCTTTAATATTTCGTCAATGACGTAAATTTTTTCGGACTGAGTTCTATTTATCAAATGAAAGAGTTCGGCTTTTGTATTATCTGGTGTAAATTCAACATTACGTTCGCGTAACCAATCTTGCATGTCCCTTTTTAAACTTGACATAGTAGGTTTTTTCTTTACCTGTACACAATGGTAGGAGGCATTGTCCATTACGACCACTGAATTAGGAGCTAGTTTATTTTTCAATTTGTGACTAACCCAGTTATGAAAATTTGTGGCATTCATATCGCCATGGTAATCCCCACATTTCGAATCAGATTTGAAAATTGTTAAGGCACCGTTAACTAATCCGTCTCGGCTACCACCATGAACAATCACCAAACGACGCCCTTTGCCAATATCAGCATAAATTCCAGGCTCAGATTCGGATTGCCAACACATATTGGAGGTGTGGCTACTATTAACGTAGGTTTCGTCCAGATAATATATGTTTCGGTTTTCATTTCTATGTTTCCGTATAGCTCTTAAATACCTTACTCTCCATTCAGCAATACTGGGCCTCTCAATTAAAATGTGTCTCTTAGATTTACATTTTTTAAATAAATATCCCATCTTATGTAAAAGCTGTCGTAAATAGGTACAACCGCAGTTCACAATGCCATCTTCTTTTAAAGCTGCAAGCAGCTTACGAATACTTGGGATTTTCTTATCAATAGTATAAAATTGATGAATTTTTCTTCGTATAACTCCCATGTCAAAATCATCAATGTGGATTCTCTTTTTTATTTCTTTAGGTTTCCGCGGAGATGAAAATTTTGCAATTTCCGATGTTTGTAGACTCGAATTTCCTTCAGCTACAATTCGCATTACGGTGCGGGCAGACACTCCTGTAGCCTCTGCTACTAATTTATTAATGTTCATATCATATTTGTGTTCCATACTTTCCTTGTCGCCCTTTCGTCTTAAAAAAAAACTATGTACATTATAAATAATATTTTTCACTTGTCGTGGTATTGGCGGACCCATCTTAGAATATTTATCTCATGTATTTTTGGAGAAAACTGTCGCGTACAACTGAATCGTGTAACCGTCGCGGCGGTTGACGGCAGACTGCGTCAGCTTGATGTTTGTCTACCTCCCCCGTCCTGCCGCTCACATACCTAAGGCGATGACTAGCACTTCCGCGCAGACTATAGTGAAAATCGGCAGTTATTTCGAGAGGCACGGAAGATGTCTAAAGAATGTGGCTTTAGTTACTGCTGGACAAATCGCGGTAGCATTTACGTACGTCGTAAAGAGTGAAAACCAGCACAACATATTAAGTCTCACGATGATATGTTTCGTATTTTCTCATGTGGTACTACCACTTTGCAGTCTAGTAACACTGTTAATGTACAAATTTAAAAAGTTTATGGACCTGGTGTGTATTTTCTTCTTTTCATATCTTTTTTATTTTGTTATTTGTTATTTATCTATATATATTTTTGGGCATAAATACTACCACAACAGTGATCTTAATTATACCAAAGTGAGTGTTTCCGGTCAATATACCTACATAAATATATACTCCTATTTCTGGCCGTATATGTTGATAATAAGGTACGTTCATTTAATTTCATGTACACGCAAAACTTCAAATTTTCTCTTCGCACATTTTAAAATTTTTCGTTTCACTAAATATTTTGTCATGACATTAATAATCTACTATTATATAACTATTTTATATATTTATAATTAAGTTGAACTGAATTTAATGCAAGATAATTTACATGATAATTTAGACACAATAAATATAACATGTCATGACATAAGCCAACTCGAACAATGTGCTTCAATAATAACTAATAAGTACACATTTAAAATATTGAATTTTAATATCAGGAGCATATCAAAAAACTTTACGCACTTTACGATAGCATTAAAACGTATAGCATTCGACTTCGATGTAATTGTTTTAACGGAATGTCGTATTGCAGAATCCTCTATTATCCCGGTACTTCCAGGATACACATCGTACAGAACTCATAAAATAATCAATCAAAATAGTGGTGTAGTAGTATACGTCAAAGACGCATGGAACTCAAATGTTACAGAGCCAGTTTTTAACGAAGCAGATTGTTTAATAATAGAAATACCTGATACAGTAACCATTTTCTGTATATATCGCTCACCTTCGTTTAGAAGCACGGACAGTTTCCTAATAGATCTGGAATCACAGTTGGATCACTACAAAAATAAACCTCAATTAGTATTGACAGGAGATATTAATATTTTAAAAGGGGATATTTAGATTTAAAAGGGGACTATTGCCTGCTATTTCTAAACCTACAAGATATGATTCCTGTATTGATCATATATTTGTTAAAGCGGTTGGAGAAACAATTGGTACTGTATGCATTTCAGATATTACAGATCATAGTATGACAATAGCTGGTCTATCATTGAATGGAAACATACCTAAACCCCGATTAAGGGAAAAAGTTAAGATTGATTTTGATGCGATAAGTAATGAATTAGCAGTAATAGATTGGTCGGAATTACAAAATCAAACAGACGTAAATCAGGCAGTTGCTATATTTACTGACAATCTATCGAAAACAATAGCTAAACACACCAAACGTATAACTGTGAGTCGTTCTAAATACAATATAAAACCTTGGATTACTCCAGGTTTAATACTTTGTATAAAACATAAAGATAAACTACATATGCAATCAAGAAAGAATCCAAATGACGAAATTTTACTCCTCACATATAAGAGATACCGCAATTTCTGTAATGAGCTTCTATTTCACTTAAAAAGGGAACATGAAAAGTATCAATTGCAAGAAAGCCAGGGACAGCCAAAGAAATTATGGAAAGCAATTAAGGATATATGCAACATAACTACACCAAACAAAGAACCAACAGAGCTATTAAATATTCAAGGATCTAGAAGCAAGAAAGAATCATTGGATATTTGTAATACCTATTTTTCCACAGTTGGACAAAATTTAGCACACAAAATTCTTATTAAAAGCAATAAGACTGAAGAAAGCCTAGTGCGAAATAGTAAAATTATAAATACAACAAACTCGTTTTTTATGCAACCTACGGACGCTTACGAAATAGAACACCTAATAACGAATCTCAAAAATGATAAAGCGCCAGGAATTGATGGATTAAGTAATACGCTGATTAAGCATATTAAGAAATTTATCACTGAGCCACTTACAGTAATATGCAACTTAAGTATTTCTACCGGCGTATTTCCAGAAGTTTGGAAGACTGCTATGGTGTATCCTATATATAAAAAGGGCCATAAAAACTCTCCAGATAATTATCGACCCATTTCTCTGCTGAGTGCTTTTTCCAAACTGCTTGAGAAATTGGTTAATAAAAGACTAGTGAATTACTTAGAAGCACATAATCTGCTTTCTTCAAGACAGTTTGGATTTAGGAAAAGAAAATGTACCGAGGACGCTGTAACCACCTTAATTTCACATATATCTTCTTGCCTTGACAAAAACGAATGCTGTATTGGCGTATTCCTAGACTTAGCCAAGGCTTTCGACACTGTTTCCGTACCTTTATTATGTAAAAAGCTTGAAAACGTAGGAATCAGAGGATTACCTTTAGATTGGTTCAAAAGCTATTTGCAGGAACGGAAACAGTGCGTGAGAGTGGGTACTTCTTTAAGTGAAATGCAGAATGTTAATTATGGTGTGCCTCAGGGAAGTATTCTCGGTCCCACTCTCTTTGTCATATACATGAACGACATACATCAGTTCAACACAAAACATTCAGAAATAATATGTTATGCTGATGATACAGTCATTTTATATACTGGGAAAACGTGGGATGACGCCATTTCTGTGGCGGAACGCGGTATTTCACAGGTTGCTCATTGGTTAAACTCAAACCTGTTAACTCTCAACGTAGAAAAAACTAATTATATGTGCTTTCATAAGACCCGTTCGTCAGCACCACCTACTGACAAACACATAAAATTGCATCATTGCACAACTAAGAAGAATTTGTGTAGTTGTGAAAATATTCGGAGAGTGGAATCTATTAAATACCTTGGTATATTCATTGATCACAATCTTAACTTCAAGGCGCATATCTCGGTATTGGCAGGAAGAATTCGTAATATAGTTTATATCATGAGAAAACTGAGAAACTCTGCACCACTGAATACATTAATGACCGTCCATTATGCCTTATGTCAGTCGCTGCTAACGTATTGTATTTCTTGCTGGGGAAGCGCTTCCAAAACAGTCATGGTGAGGATAGAGAGAGCTCAACGTTCTGTCCTGAAAGTTATGCTTAATAAGAAATACAGGTATCCAACAGTTAAATTATATAGAGATTGTAAAGTGCTTACAGTTCGGCAGCTATTTGTCTTATGTGTGGCTACCAGTGCTCATAGAAAAATATTAAGCTTAGATAAATTCAATGAGCTAAAGAAAAAACGTGTGTTCCAAATGCCATTACCAAGCGTTCGCACAGCTTTCGCAAAACGATTTAATCCATTCATAGAAACACTCATATTTAACAAAGTTATGAAGGCATGCGACATAAGAGATTGCTCAACGAATACAGCTAGAAAGAAAATACGAAATTGGTTATTTACGCTTAATTATGAACAAACAGAGAAGCTGCTCCAAACATTGTCATAGTAGTTATGTGCCCAATATTGATATTTGATTGATATTGTTATTGTTATTAAAGTAGTAATTCAAAATACTGTAATATTAACAAATTATATTATGTGTATGTATATATATGTATATGTGTGTATATGTGTATATATATATATGTATATATATGTATGTGTGTATGTATGTATGTATGTTTGTGTATATATGTTTATATGGATGGCTATATGTATATGTGTGTGTATATGTGTTTAAGTATATATTTATGTTTACAGACTATAAATAAAATGAGGAAGACATTTAAAGTAAAGAAAGCTTTGTAAAGTCAGCCGTGCACTAATTCTGTTTTTGTTAATATGTGTATATGGCTCTCACGATACAGGTCTGCGAGCCTAGTGTGAGAACCACTGTTAAATTATTTGTAAAGGTGCTAACTGTCAAATAAAGTATTTTTCATTTTCATATTTCAATTATAGATTAATATATGTTATTTATATATTGTATTGTATATATGTAAGATACATATTATTATAATACTTTAATGAGTAAAGTTATAATTAATTTATATTATACAAGATATATTAAGCAATATATTTTTATGGTAATGCGCAAATATGATCACGTTTCAGAATTTCACTCTCAGTTAAAGTGGTTGACTATACGTCAGCGCAGAGATTTCCGAATTCTGTCCACCGTTTTCAGTTCTTAATAATTCTTCCTCACCCCTTTATCTAACAGAAAGATTTCAATTCCGTAGTAACACACATTCTCGGCGGCGAAATCCCACACTAAGCCACTATTGGAGTGAATAATTTATCGTATGTTATGAGTAGGCTAAACTTCATTTAAAATTCGATACAAGTGGTAACGGGTTCCCGCCTTGTTGTGGTGGGGGGCTTAGTCATCCGCGATGAACTAAGAGGAACCCACATGGCTGGTCCGAGGAGGCCACTCCGTGTGAGCTTGGCGAGCCTACTTCGAATTTGTGTTGGTAAGTTGCGGCGAGTGGGATGTCCTCTCCCCGTACCGCTGTAGCAGAGGAGTGTTGATATAGCGACGCGCTACTCGCTCTAACCTCCGCGACTCTGACGGGGCCGCGGGGGGAGAGGAGTGTCGGTATTGCAGGCGCCGCTCTACCTACCCTCCACAGCCGAATCTTGGTTGGCGGCGGAACCATAGACCAGATCCGCCGCAGGCTGTAGGAAGGCTAGTACTTCTGAGTGCTCGCATTTTCCAGGCCCCATGGCCTTCGCGCATCGAACACAGGGGCGGCCGTTGCGTAGGCGGAGTAAGAGGCCGAGGAGGAAGGCGCGCCTTGTGTTCCTGGTGCACCTTGCCTAAGAAAGAAAAGGGGGAGGAGAAATCCTTTCAAAGGAGGGGCTGCCGGTGCCGGTGGGGCCGCGGATGTGTGCGCAAGCGTGCACATAGTCTAACAAACGAGCACATAGTCCAGCTGATGGTAAGTGGTTGCTGTCTGTAGTATATATACAGTAATCTATGGGTTCATCTACATCTATCCTCAATTACGAATCAAAATGCAGATGCGTTGTCACCCGCGATGACTAAGATGGAATGCCTCTTTTCCAGTAAAAAGGGTCTCCGGTTCTCTATACTCACCATATGAAACACAGCAGTGTTTCATTCGTGCTACAACTATACTAATATAGCTACAGCATGGCTCTACCACATATAAATGCGGCGAAGGTGGAATACCATGGGTTCATGGATGGTTTTAGTTGGTGCGAGTCCGACATAACCCGTTTTAGTCCCCGCGAGGCTGGTATTCGTAGGCATTTCCCCATGTAAAAAAGGTATTCCAAGGATCAGCAAGCATTTGTAGTATACGCACTTATAACCTCAGCGAAAATAGATAAATTCTTCTTTGTGGAGTCGGAGCGTGCGGGTTCGGTTTTAGTATTCGATATCTCTGAAACTAAGCGAGATATCGACAATTTTTATTCTTACGATATGTCGAAAGTATCTCGTAGGCAAATAAATCATGGCATTCAAATCGTGGTGCCATAGGTATGAAAAACCATTGCTGAACATAGGCCTCTTACATAGATTACCTGGTATAGTTTTGCCATAGTTGCCACGCTTAGTAGGGGCATTAGCAACTACAGTATTTACTATTTTAAGTTGTTATCAAGAAGATATTGCTGCTCGTCGTTGCTGGTTTCTTCTGTCGCCTCTTACGACACCCACGGAACTATTTGAGATAGTAGATACTCTTTTACACTGCCAATACACTGTTTGCTCGCGTAAAATTGAGTATGTTTATCCACTGAGCTATCACAGCTTTATGTATTAAGTAATTATTTCAAAAATTAAACACAATGTTTACTTATGAAGTAATTTTATTAGATTAGAATTTTTTGAACGATTTCTTGGAACCCTTGCCTTTGGAGACCTTCAGAACATTGAACCTCACAGTCTTGGACAGAGGCCTACATTCACCGATGGTCACAATGTCTCCAAGTTCAACGTCCCTGCAATGAGAAGCTTAGGTTACAAACAAGATTTTACGTGAAAATATATACCCAGATAGATTTTGTTTAATCAGATGTTGGGTTAAAAACACTTTGGTCGTCATGTTGTGGTCAGAAGACCGTCGTGTGGGTATCATCATGTTGCAATTTTTCAGAAAGTGTTGTTAAGTTACCAGCCTCCAAAAATAGTCAATTGCTTAACAAAATAATGCTTACATTTAAGTTGTAGATTTAAGCTTAGGCAATTTCTTAAGGCAGCATTTGTGCTTATTCAACTAATTTGGAAATAGAAAGAGATTTTTTTTTTAATTGAACATAGATTAATACCGGGTGCTTCAAAAAAATGTATACACACTTTAAACTATTGTAGTTTTTCCGCTCTACAAGGCTAATGTTATATTTCTTCGCCAGGTGCCAGCATAATCGTCCCTCTATGTTATATTATCAGTTGGAATTTGTAATATCAACATAGGGGACGTACGTTTGAGTTTTGAAGAATGTAAGCAGGTTATTAAGTGGTACTGGAAGTTTGAGAATGTAAATGAAGTCCAAAGACAGTGGAGAAGGGAGTATGATACAGAACTACCTTCAAGATTAACAATTACACGCATACGAGACAAATTCGAAGTTCATGGAACAGTGTGTGATGTGCATAAAGGTCATTCAGGTCGGCCTCGAACAGCTACAAGTGATGAGTCATCAACGGCAGTCTTGGAACTGTTTCAACGCTCTCCTAACAAATCTTCAAGGCAAGGGGCACGTGAAAGTGATGTAAGTGCTAGCAGCGTGCTACGCATTCTGAAGAGAGGCAAGTATCGTGTTTACATTCCAAGGCTGGTGCAACAGCTAAATGACGACGATCCAGATCGAAGGTTGCAATTTTGTGAATGGATTCAGGAGATGGTGATACGTGAACCGGGATTTATGGGTAGCATCATTTGGTCGGATGAAGCCCAATTCAAACTTAATGGAACTGTCAATAGGCACAATTGTGTTTACTGGGGTGAAGAAAATCCTCACATTACAATTGAAAAAGCTGTAAATTTGCCTGGTATAAATGTGTGGTGCGGTTTGTCTTCAAGGGGACTCATTGGACCTTTTCGATTTGAAGGCACTGTAACTGGTATTAATTACCTAACAATGCTTGCTGATTCCATATTTCCTGCCATTCGTGCATTATACGGTAATGATGATTTTTATTTTCAACAAGATGGTGCTCCGCCGCATTATCACAGGGACGTACGAGCTTACCTGGATCAAAATTTGTCGGGCCAGTGGATAGGACGCAGGGCGCCAATCGAGTTTCCAGCACGCTCTCCAGACCTTACACCACTGGATTTCTTCTTGTGGGGCACAGTAAAAGATGAGGTGTACAAACGTAAACCACGTAACCTAGACATTCTTTGGAATGAGATTCAAGCAGTGTGTAGAGAAATCTCATTGGACGTTTTGATACGATGTACAGAATCTGTGGTGACTCGTACTCAGAATTGTATTGATGCTGCAGGTCACCAATTTGAACAGTATTAACATTTGTTATTTATGTTTCATTTACATTGGACTTTCAGCTTTCTATTTTCCTGAAATTTAACTTTGTAGAACGGTAAATAAATTTTCTATGGAAGTTCAAAGTGTGTATACATTTTTTTGAAGCACCCGGTATATAAATTAATTTTTATGCGCTGCCATACCGTTCATCAGATTGCGGTAAAACTTACTGCGTGCATTTGCGCGACGGTTATAGACATAGTAAAATAACTTACAGAGGTAGGCGCACGTATTGCAACAACAAATTTATTTGAAAGTTATATCATTCAACTTCAATTAATGTATTACCATCAAACAATACAACTCTTCCAAATTTAAAAGGATATTTCCACAATTATTTCCTCCGCGGCTGTAACGCACCAGCTACCAGCTAGTAGATTATAGATAATACTTATTGAAAGTTATTTAATTTACTATTGGTTCGAAAAATACCTCTATCCTGCAACCAGTATCAAACTCAGCAGGGGATTTCTATCTACTAGAAGAGAATAGAATATTTTTTATTCAATATAGATTATTACATAATCAGTTTTTTGTTCACCACTGGATATGGTATTACAAGGCCAAGTAAAAAGAATAATTAAAAAAACCCAACTGCGTAAAGTCAAACATTACCCTGTGACACTACCATGACGAAGAAGTAAAAATAGTATTTAAAAAACCTAACTGTGTAAAGTTAAATATTACCCTGTGACACTACCACGACAAAGAAGTAAAAATGGTAATTAGAAAAGCCAACTGTGTAAAGTCAAACATTACCCTGTGACACTACCACAACGAAGAAGTAAAAATAGTTATTAAAAAAAAAACCCAACTGCGTAAAGTACAAACATTACCCTGTGACACTACCACAACAAAGGCGTAAAGTCAAACATTACCCTATAACACTACCACAATGAAGAAATAAAAATAGTAATTAAAAAACCCAACTGCAGAAAGTCAAACATTACCTAATCTAACCGCGTAAAGTCAAACATTACCCTATGACACTACCACAACTAAGACAAATCTAACAATATAATGCCACTGCAGGAAATTTCTGTCTCAAAATTGTCTAACAGTATATATCTCAAAAACTAAATAACTTGTTGGTCTAATGGTCATAAGCACAACTACAGACCATGCAGTCCCGGGTCAGACCAAAACAAGTGATAGATTGATTTGTACCAATATGAGTCCTTACCCAACCCTACTACTTCTAGGTTGTCTAGAAGAGATTTTCCCCTTTTTTATATAGGATAGGGTGACAAACGAGCACACAGTCCACCTGATGGTAAGTGGTAGCTGTGACCCATAAACATCTACATTTATCCTCAATAAAGAATCAAAATGCAGATGCATTTTCACCTGTGAGGACTAAGATGGAATGCCTCTTTTCCAGTAAAATGGGTTTCCAGTTCTCTACACTCACCATATGAAACACAGCAGTGTCAAGCTGCCATTTTACGCTAGTATTCTGTGAGAGCATTGTCCTTCCCCGGTCGAGCCGACCTATTTGTACTACAACTATACTACTAATATAACTGCAGCATGGCTCTACCATGTATAATAACGATATAATGCAACTGATATTGAAGCTATATTTGTTTTGCAAAAGAGAGCCATACGGGCGATTTATAATCTAAATTGTAAAGAGTCCCTCAGAGAAAAATTTAAAGAAATAAACATATTAACTTTGGCATCTCATTATATTTATGAAAATGTAATGTATGTACATAAAAACATAAATAGCTTTAATAAGAATAAGGATGTTCATACCTTAAACACTAGGAACAAACATAAGCTTGTAATGCCAGTTACTAGGCCACAGAATTAGTAATTCATTTATAGGGCAATGTATACGCTTTTACAACAAAGTTCAAAGTTTGTCAATAAACAAGTTTAAAAGTTTTATTAAAGAAAAACTGTACAAAAAGGGTTATTATAATATCAAGGAATACATGAATGAAAATAACCCCTGGGAATAAGGTGTTCGCCACCATGCTGGTTCTATGAAAATTTATTTAAAATTGTATAAACAAAATTATTGTTAAGTGAAATTATGTTTAAAAAAAAGTCCCGCTGGGTTTCTTACTGGTTCCTCCCAGGACAGAGGTATTTTCCAAACCAGTGGTAAATAAAATAATAACTTTCAATAAGTATTATGTAATAATCCATATTGAATAAAAATCATTCTATTCTATTCTATAAAATCCCTCAATATTTCTTTACTTTTTTTATCTTTTCTTGGTGTATAATAAAGAATATTGTATTGTATCAGCACTCATTAAACTTAAGTAAACCACTCTGCCCTTAAATCACTGATGAATATTGTAAATATTATGTTCTTTAGTTATACACCTATATCCAGCCTATTAAAATCCACCGCAGAACACAGACCTCCTCCATAGATTGCTTCATAGGGGTGATATTATTAGTAACATAAGTAATACATTTTCATACTAACCTAAAGCAAGGTGACAAATGTACAGACATATTCCTGTGCCTCTTCTCAAATCTGTTGTACTTCCTGACATAGTGAAGGTAGTCTCGGCGGATGACAATTGTGCGCTGCATCTTCATCTTCTGCACTACTCCAGTGAGGATACGACCGCGGATCGAGACATTTCCAGTGAACGGACACTTCTTGTCGATGTATGTGCCTTCAATCGCCTGCAGTGAGAGCTCGGTCAATATTTTTTTTCGTGATTTATTTTACAGTATTATTTTATGATTCGTTGTTAATGTTGAAAATGTTGAATCAAAACTGTTTCTCAGTGAGAAATAGTTACTATTTTTTTCCAAGTCAACACAATGTCAAACTAATTTACATTTACATTGGTAAATATATTCACAGCTTTATTAAAGATTTAGTTTAATTACTTTTTTTTAACAACATCTCAATAATATGATACATTAAACACCAAGAAGTAGATTGTTTCAGTTTGCAAAAATATGTAATGTGATATCAAACAAATAATTTCAAATGTAGTTTAAATCTTGATATATTTATGTAAATAATACGAAGGTGTACACATCTGACTGTTGATTTCAAATAGTAATAGAAAGGTATCAAAATACAATAATTTGTTCAACATTTTCAACATAAAATAATCAGATTATGGGTTAGAAACACAATCTTCTTCATATAGTAATCAGAAGACCGTCGTGTGATTATCATCATGTAGAATTATTACCATACACATAGCATCAAGCTTAAATATGGCAACACAATAAGCTATATTCATTATTAGTCCCTTTACCAGCTATACTAGGTGTTAGTTTTCTGTCAAGAAGTCCCGTCTTGGTGTATATATCCCACTTACCTATTACTTCTGCAAAGCAACAGATCAAAACATCTTTTTTTTTTATAGAATAATGGTGACAAGAGCAGTAATTCATGTACTCCAGTAACAGTACAGACAGCCAGTGACCAAGGCTGTGCGAGGTATATACACTTAGTTCTTTGGCAATGCTTTTTTTTGCCTTTTTTGTCAAAGTTGGTTGCAGTTGTCCATGAGCTGCAGCTGCCAGAACTAGCCACTTACCGTCAGGTGGATTGTTTTAATTACCACAAACTTAATTCAAATATCCCAAAAGTACATAATTATTAAAAAAAAAAGAATTCAAACCATATTTTCTTGATGAATGATTATAATGATACCTTATATAAACAATCTTATAATAAATCTTAGCCCACAATATGAGGTTAGTCACAAAATCATGAACTTTAAACCCTGTAAATATAGCATAATACGTAAAATATAAGACTTAATTATATTAACAAGCATATAAAATTGCATGCAACCAAGCCAAGATTGGACTAGCACATCAATGGCGTTTTATTGTGAATCCCTTTACAAGTTTGAAAATATATATATACGACAACCATCACCAATGAAGATGGTGAAAGAATGGAGGTTAATTACATTAAAATCACTAAATTTATTTCGAATTAAATTTTTTTTATAAATGAACCTCCATTCTCACCATCCATGGGACAATAGACCAATATATCAACGATGAAGCAACCATAGCTTGCCACCGAACCCAAATACTGGAATTCAGACCTCACGTGGCGTCTTGAAACCTAGACCGACATTCTTATGATGTCTCATATCCTTCCTCTTCAACCCTCCTTTACGGTTGAGGAACACCGTTGCCTGTTTTTGAAACGCTTTCTCTGTCTACAAAAAAAAACAACTCTCGTTAAAATCACACATCATGCGTTACCTCACGGGGCGTTTTGAAACCGAGCCCCACATCTTTGTGGTATCTCAGTGGCTTGCGGCTACGTTTCACACCAATGCCTTTTTTACGGTTCAAAAACACCGTCGGCTGCTTTTGGAATGAACGCTCATTCTGGAATTTATGGTTAATATTAGAATATACAATTAAAATAACAAAGTTAGACGAAAAACTAGGAGTGCTGGATAATTTAAGTTATGCTGTTCATACAAAATTACACAATCATCTACTTCAAAGTCATGGTGCTTGCACCAATCACTGATCAATTATCATTTTGTGCAAACCTAAAACATAAATCCTTTACTATGCATGCGGTCAGTGCTCATAATCCATGGCCATGGCTATATTGACGTACATTTAAATTTTAAGTACTGATTTACCAAGTGCTCTGTGGTAAAGAAAAAAATTGTGAGTTGAAGGTTGTCTAAAAATAAAATATTTACATGTCTGATGTCTACTAATATGCACTGAAGCAACATGCAAATCTAATTGCTCCATTCCTATCATAAATCCTTACTAAATCACTACTCATTAAATGACTTGAAGCACTGACGTTCCAGGAAGTCTGCAGTGTGTGATCATGTTCAAGATTGTCTCAACCATTACATTAGATTTGATAGACCACAAATCCTCACAAAAGGACACCGATTCCTACCAAGGATTGATTCGTGAGGCTATTGAAATTAAAAAACAGCCTAATTTCAATAGAGAAGATGGATGGGTGCTGCCATCTGCTTGGGATTCTATAATTAATAAAAATAAATCTAAACCCAAGCATACCACTGCAAGACTTCAAGATACTATAAGCTCATTCTGCGTAGATCGGACCAAAAATTAATAGTATATATATAATTTGTATGAGACAATTAGGATGTTTGATTTTGAATTATCATCAAATATAGGTTTTATTTCATTTTTAACCTAACAAAATAATTAATATTTTTACACAAAATACTGAAATCGACAATGATTGTTTACAGTATTTTTTCATTCATAGTGATTTCCAGTAAATTATATGACATGACAATGGTAGCAATGCCAATTTTAAATTTTGAACATCTTACACAATACAAATCAGTAGGTTAAAATTTAATGAAAATTACACCTACAATATAGGTTATGCATTTATAACGCTAGAAATAATGGGACTAAATATTCACCTATTTTTAAAGGACATCATGTTTAACATAAGTGCAGTAGTAGCAAAATATGTTAAAATGTCATAAGTAATTATTTAACACAAGAAAGAAGATAATTGGGAATATTCACTCCCCACGTGGATATCGACAACAAACACATTTTCACTATAATAAAGACCGTTTTTTTACTCGATTTAAACAACAAAAGTCTTCTAGTAAAATAATAGTTAATCTGTCAACAAATATTAGTAATAACCACACTAAATTCCATGAATTTAAACAGAAAAACGGCACCCACCTGATCCGCCATTTTGCTTGACAACGAAAAGAAAAATTAAAGGCAACGCAGCGCAGTGTTGCCATCGTAAAGTTGCCGTATGTCACAGTCTGGCTTGCCGTATTTAATTTATTATTATATTTACTATTATATATTATATTTGTAATAAGGATAAATAAATAAATTGCCGTATTTTTAACTAATAAGCCAAATGTTCACCGCAAACTAAACTAACTTAGTTAAACTAAGCTTGCACAGCTAAGCCAGTTTTTCATACATGTGCGTCCACCGCAAACTACGCCAGCTAAGCTAGGTAAAATAGCGATACTAAGTCTAACTAACTTAGTTGTGTAGGCCGATCTGAAACTAAGCGAACTAAGCTAAGTACCTCTCACCCCCTTACTTTACCCCTCTGGCGACATTCGCTTAGTGTTATTTGTTTTGTTTAGCATTTGATTATGCAGGCAGTGAAACACGTATTTGCAGCGTGGAGCTATTTATTGAATACGTGAAACATCCTTTATTATATAATCTGGAGATAAAATACTTACTATTTTTTTTAAAGAAATGAACAATAAATAATCAATCTACTTTTCCTATGACGAATGTAATCCTACTTTAAACTCTCGTCATAGCTCTTCTCTTGTTCTTCCATCACGTCCGATTAACTCAACATACCGACACAAACTGGCCATCACTAACGTAGTTTTAGCTTATTTTTCGGTGGACGTGCAATTATTTTTCATGTTAGCTTAGCTTAGTTCACTGAGACTAGTTTTCACATAGTTTAGTTCGCAGTGGACGTTCGGTTTTAATACTAAAAATGTATATTCCAAATCTTCTCCGTAAAGATTTCTTATTGCTTCTGTCACTCCAGATTCATGTTTATCTAGTGAGTATTTGCCTGTCCTACTATTTTTTTTCCAAAGAACTTACTCTAAATATTTTATTTTCATATCTTTTATTTTTCATAAATATGTTGCGCCTTAGTTTAATGGTAAATGTTAAATGTAATAAAAAGTTTCCTTTTTTAATAATCTAATAAAAATAACTCGCATGGCATACATGGTTATTTATTTTTTTGCAATAACCGGCTCAATTTGCAGAGGAGGTTCAGAATGAGTAATATAGGCAAATAGTGTAGCCAAATTAAATTAAAAAGAAATCTCAAAAAATCTGTTCTTTTTATCTTTTTAATTCAAAATGCTTGGTAATGCATTATTTTAATTGATTGTCATTCAAAAATATCTAACGCCCACTATTTTACTACTTACGCACACATTCGTAAGGTTCGATCGGTGGACAAAAATGTTGCGAATTGAATCGCGCACAGAGGACCGCGCGTACACGTGGTTGTTGCCCATAAATCACATTCAATTTGGAATAATTTCAAATAAAAGTAGAAGCTTTATTTATTCGTATTTTAAAAAAAAACTACAAAAACAGTATATCCTTATTTATATATTTGAACTTAAGTTTAAGATTTGGCTGCTCTGAAAAATAAACCTATGTACAATCTTGCACATGTTTTATTATATTACTGACAATGTTTATTTGGAAATCAAAGTAATCGCGAAATTTATGCCCAAGTAATGTACGTATGTATGAGATATCTATCTATCACATTAAAATAATAAATTATACTCAATTACCAATGGGTCCGGCTACCCAATTTTGTTAAGGGTATCAAAAAATAGTATAAAAAATTACGAATTCAACGGTATTCTTTTTTTTTTCTACCTATAAAAATGACTGAAATATTGATGAGTAAAGTGGTGTTTTACGGTAAGTGCGACCGCTTTGCTCCGCATCGCGATGTGACGTCACAAACCGACACGTCGAAGCTACCAGTAGTCTTTATTGTTATGTTTTTCTTATTCTCTCCATATTTTTTATTTTATTTCTTACTCTATATATTTCTTGTCGTGTTATTTATTTATCAGTAACCTTTATTTTCTGTTTTTTTTTCTGTTATATCACGCTCCTTGGGAATAAAAGTCCGATATGCGAAGATAAAATCCTATAGATCAAGTTATACCTTAATGCAAAATTTCATCAAAATGAGTTTAGTAGTACACGCATTGAATGCTTGCGACAATTGCATTTTCAAAACAGAATAGCTACCAACTACCAACGTAAAATCGCTATCGGTTTATTCAAAAGTAAGTCAAACTACGAACTACGTGGAACTACGTAACCAACAAAATTTCTTCACGTGTAACTAGGTACTAAGTAACAGTACGAGTTGATTAATACTCACTGCATTAGTAAGTTTAAGTAATTTTTTCATTTTATGTCGTTGTAAATCATGTGCAACTTCGTGGTTCGGTCAGTTAATACCTAACTATGTATTACTGCCTGAATACTAATCAATGTTAAAGCTGTATACTTTTCGTAATCTTTTATTAGTAACTTACCTTCAGAGCTTTATTCCACGCATTTTTGATGATAAAAAATCATAATTTTCTGAAAAATACTGCGCAACTATAAAAATATCCACTTTTGGCATATTAACTAACTATCTTTTTTCAAAGCCCGTTTCCATTTTCTTTTTTATATAGCACTACACACCGTGACTATACATATAAATATAATCATATAAAAGCTAAATGTTCAATACTTTAGTTTATAAATCAAATCAAATAGTTCTTTTGTGATTCACAGTTTACAAAAAGGTCTTATTTAAACACAAATAAAGGTCAGTCTCTGATCAGCCTCATGGTCAAACAAATGTCAAATAATATTAATAGTTCATTGAACACATTATTCATAACTAGCTCTTCCCCGCGACTTCGCTCGCGTAGTAGGGTTTTTATGTTTTTGCGCGGAACGCTAATTCTTTTTCTAAAATGAAAATAGCCTAAGTTACTCCTTATGAAATCAGCAATCTGCCAGTGAAAGTCCCGTCAAAATCGGTCAAGCCGTTTTGGAGATTAGCCAGAACAAACAGACAGACAGACAGACAGTTTTTTAAAATTGTGTTTTTGTTATAAGTACCGTATACACTTTCATATGCATTTAGTTAAAAGCTGTTATTTTGACATTACAAACAGACACTTCCATTTTATTTATTTGTATTTTTTGTTTATAGGAGAGGGGGCAAACGAGCATGCGGCTCACCTGATGGTAAATGACTACCGCTGCCCATGAACAACCACAACACCAGGGGAATTGCAGATGCGTTGCCTGCCTTTTAAAAAGGAGTAGGCTCTTTTCTTGAAGGTCCCTAAGTCGTATCGGTCCGGAAAAACCGCAGGTGGTAAACTATTCTACAAGGAAGTTGTGCGAGGAAGAAAACATCTTCTAAATCGCACAGTGGTGGACCGCCAATCATCCAGATAATATGGATGGTATCGGCAGTTCTGCCGCGATGTACGTTCGTGAAATTTGGCGGCTGGAATTAATCCGAACAATTCCTCAGAGCACTCCCCGTGGTAAATGCGAAAGAAAATGCAAAGAGATGCAACATCTCTTCGCAGTGCCAATGAGTCGAGCCAATCGGAAAGGACTCGGTCGTTGATGATTCAAGCCGCTCTGTGCTGGATGCGGTCAAGTGGAAGTTTTCAAATAAGCGGATGAAGCACCCCCGCATTGCTAAGATTTTGATAGGAGTAAGCAATCGCGACCCCGCAGGTGATATTTTATCTCCAATTTGACGGGCAAGTGGTTCGTATCCCACGCAGGCGCGAGCACCACCTGGCGATTCGCACGGCACTTAATGTCAGCTTCCAGGGATTGTACTCCGAGGGCTTGACTAGCGGATGCTTATGTAAATAAAGGCGACACTGTGCAAGAGAAAATACGGATTTATTAATTTAACTAGACTGTGAAAGAAGAAAGAAAAAAAGAACTATTTATTTGCTATACACGTTTTGCATACATTTCAAAAAATATACAAAATAAAGGGGCAAAAATATGCATGACTGCTTACACTTACGCATGCATATCATTAATTAATAGTGAAGTAAAAAATGAATAAAAGAAAAAAAATTAAAGCCAAAATGTGACTTCAAATAGGTCTCCAACTCAGCACAATGCTGCAATGACATCGCTGGTTTTCTGTTGGAGCCTTGTGACTTCACAGACAAAGTCACTACGAGTTACATAGTTATCTATTAACAATTACGAGTTAGAAAGTACTGCTAACATATATAACGTATATAAATAAATAATACACACATACACTGAGACTAACCTAGCTAACAGGCATATAAGTGTTATATATACTATATATTTAAATAATACCTACACATACAGTTGTACATACAAGGTGGGGGGATGACTTTGCCTAGGCTTTAGTCTGGATAGGTTCATTCTCTTATTCTGCCGTTAGCAGTGGCACCAATTCATATACACACTTTAAGGGGGAAAGAGTCAGTAGGACTTAGTAATTACAAGTAGAGGTGTTGTGGCTCCGAGGCGTGAACTCGGTGTGAATTTCTAAGTTCACGAGCCAAACGAATATGAACCCTGCCGGCAATAATGACATTGTTAATTCGATGTAGTCGATATGTCGACGCCGAGGATTCCGATACTGGCTGAGGCAACAAGGGGAGTGTCTTGAAACTGAGGAGATACGACAAAAGGGTTATAAACATAAGAAATTTAAACAAAAACACCCATAAGAAATTTTCGGGAGGGAGTGACATACTGGTGTTACAGGGTAATCAGACGGGGGCGGGCGGCAGGGAACATTTTTCACGTTGGTAGTTCCAGCGTAGTTCTTGAGAGGGCAATTGCCGTAAGACATTTAGGTAACTCATATTTCAAACGCCTAACACGTAAGAAAAGGATCATTCATCATCATCGTCATCATCATTACAGCCCTTCACAAGTCCACTGCTGAACATAGGCCTCCCCCAAAGAATGCCACAAAGCACGGTCCTGAGCCACCTGCATCCATCGACTTCCTGCATATCTTACCAAGTCGTCACTCCATCTAGTGGGGGGACGCCCTACACTTCGCCTGCCGGTACGAGGCTGCCACTCGAGAACCTTTCTTCCCCATCGGTTGTCGGTTCTTCGAGCTATATGGCCGGC